AAACCAGTGACTGCCCCTGTTAGGTTACCCTTGTAAGATACTGTAAACCAGTGACTGTCCCTGTTAAGTTACCCTTGTAAGATACTGTAAACCAGTGACTGTCCCTGTTAGGTTACCCATGTAAGCTACTGTAAACCAGTGACTGCCTCTGTTAGGTTACCCTTGTAAGCTACTGTAAACCAGTGACTGCCTCTGTTAGGTTAACCTTGTAAGCTACTGTAAACCATTGACTGCCTCTGTTAGGTTACCCTTGTAAGATACTGTAAACCAGTGACTGCCTCTGTTAGGTTACCCTTGTAAGATACTGTAAACCAGTGACTGCCCCTGTTAGGCTACTAACCAAATTGTGACTAAACATTCTGACAAGTATAATTAGTTGTTTATGATATTAACACTTCAGAAGTAGGGCTTGTTAAACCATAATGGTCAAAGGTTTGTTTGCATGTTCATGGAAATTACAACTATACAGAAGATTGGCAGAATCACATATAAATTACATTCTAGGCATTACTCAGCAAGTCTGTGGTACCAAAGTCTGGAAAAAAGAAAAAAAAGAAAGCAGAAAAGGCAGCAGCTGAAACGGTGGAAAAAGAAGATACAAATAGTGCCATCAAAGGCGAGAATGTTTGAAGGTAAAAACTTTCAAATACACGCGTAAAGCAAAGTTTAAACTTTACTTTTCATAGGACTTTGATTCGATTAACTCTTACTCTTTGATTAATAAAATATAAAGGATTTTCATCAAACGTATTGTGAAATTTTATATAATTTCTGTACTTTGGTCAATATTTGGAATGCAGTGTTTGCATTTTTTTTTACCAATCTTTCTTGTTCCAGTTTGTTCTGTTCATCAGTGTAACAAAAATATTTTTCATGATATTTATAGTGGTTTAATCATTAGGGCAACAATGGCAATTTTCAACAAAACTCATTGCACCATCCAAGCAAACAAGGACATCAAGGCCACAGTGATTGGTCATCTCATAACAAGGACATCAAGGCCACAGAGATTGGTCATCTCATCCACAGTACCTGATCTTGGCCAACGACATGTAAAAGAAAATTCTGTTCTGAAAATTTCTATTTTTACTGCCATTGTCTTTTCAGTTTTAATTTGGTCCCTTTTTCTAATCTTACTATACTTAATATTTGTTTTTCTTTTTATCTTTTATTTGATGAGATACTTAGGTATAGGAAAATTGCATCAGAAACTTTTTTATTTTTGTTTCGGGGAGAGAAAGTAAACAGGTTTCATATTCTATTTAAAACTTGCTGTATTCTTGTTTAGTTGTATTAATTTGAAACTTAAGTTTTAAAGGTACAACTGTAGGTGCTGGTTAATTTTTTTAGCAAATTATTTTACACTACACAGTGCTGGATTGGCAGTTGTGTAATTTTAAAAGTTTTCAGATACATTTTTAAACCTTTACGCATGGTTATATGCTTCCTGTTACTAATTGGACTGCTTAAGGACCATAGAATTAATACTACCAGACAATTGCAGCTATACACCATTCTTTGATATCTTGTATGTGATGTCATTGGCTGAGGCTATGGGTCCAAGGTTGTCTTCAGTCAATAAAATGCCCTTTTGAAAGAAATAAATGTTCTTGTGTGTTTCTTTCAATTCTATTCTTTACCAAGTCTAATTAACTTTACCTCTGGTGTTCTATGTCAACATATTCTTGTGATACGTTTACACACGTTGTATCCAGTAAAAAAGCACCTGTAAAATCAATCTCATTGGAAGAGATTGTAATTCTTTATAACGATCTATATTGAAAGTAATCTGCCGTACGAGGATATATTTTCCTCTTATGAAAGTACTGTGTATTTCTGGTTTGTCATGTCTTTGACATTACCGACCAAGCCAAAGTTGAACTTGTTTTTTTATCTAACACAGAATCCATATCATGGGACCTTGTTATAAGTAGAGCCATGGTTAATACCAAAACAACCAACATACTAGGTAGAGCCATGGTTAATACCAAAACAATCAACATACCGAGTAGAGCCATGGTTAATACCAAAACAATCAACATACCGAGTAGAGCCATAGTTAATACCAAAACAATCAACGTACCGAGTAGAGCCATGGTTAATACCAAAACAACCAACATACCGAGTAGAGCCATGGTTAATACCAAAACAACCAACATACCGAGTAGAGCCATGGTTAATACCAAAACAACCAACATACCAAGTAGAGCCATGGTTAATACCAAAACAACCAACATACCGAGTAGAGCCATGGTTAATACCAAAACAACCAACATACCAAGTAGAGCCATGGTTAATACCAAAACAACCAACATGCTAGGTACAGCCATGGTTAATACCAAAACAACCAACATACCGAGTAGAGCCATGGTTAATACCAAAACAGCCAAGATACTGAGTAGAGCCAT